TTTTTTTCCTTTTTTTTCTTTTTCTTTTTCTTTTTCTTTTCTTTTTCTTTTTCTTCTTCTTCTTTCCTTTTTCTTGCAAATGATAAGGGGGGCAACCGCCCCCCCTGCCCCCCCTGTGGCGCCGCCCCTGTATGCATACCTATTGGATACGTGTGATAAACGGCTCTCTTCCTGTAATCTTTCTTTCGAACACAAGACTCGCAAAATTCAGGGAGGCCTACGCTATTATATGTTCCACAACCTACCTAGTTGGTTTGATTAGCTCGGCAAGCGGAGCCTCTCCAGAAAATGTACTCCCTGTGGGTGCTTCTCGTTTCTTCCCTCTAGCGTCTTTTGATATTACAAAGTCCTCTGATGCCACAATGCTTCTTGGTGCAATGCCAAACTCTGCCAAGTCCTAAAAGTCAAGAGATTTGTTTCTGTAATGACATGCGGTTAGGTGTATTAGTTGATTAACATTTCTGGCAAAGCTGCCTGACTTCACAGCACTCTGGTAACAGGCTCATGACAGGACATGCCAACATACCACACTCTAGGTCTAGGAAGAATAACTCCTGATATGAATTCACTTGAATGAAACCACACAAAAAAAACACCTCTTCATCCATAAAATCTTCGGGCACTTGCTTGCTGGCTCCCTCCCTACCTTGCCTGGACGATACAAACCCAGATGGTTTCCATCCTACACAGAATGCAATATTCAGTATTATTACAAAACTCAGTGCCTATGTCACATTTACATGATTCAATGTTAAATTTACAATAGTATCTTTATAAACAGATTTTTTTTAGTACTAGAAAAGATACATGATGCTTAACATTCTTAATTCAGACATTTTAGTGAAATTTTTGTCTACATAGGTGATCACACAGTTTTACTGTATGCATCCGACTTACAAAACGTTTCACGTTTTACGGTGACAATATCGTGACAACTACATCGCCAACATTAGAATTACATATATTAGTATCTGTTTGTAAAACGAGTGGGAAACCGTAACGTACCTTCTGGTGTTGCCACGGTATTGAAGAATCCTGCGGAGAACCCGCCCGTGAACGCTCCATGGAATCGCTGAGGTCGACCTTTACTGTCTTTCACCTGTTGGTCATGCACCTGAACTGGCTTTCGCTTTGGAAGCTCCTCTGTAGGACAATGTACGGTACATGTTTTATCGTAGGAAGGTGTAGTTTTTTACTAACACAAAAATGTCAAAGTTGGTTTGATTAGTTTTAGCTATATATATTACTAGATTTTTACGGACAACTCTTTATGGACAACTTGAAATAAATGTGTTCAATATACACATATGGTATGAGCAGTCGTTTTTAAAATCCCAAGTTTGCAAGTATAAACTGCTGCATGGCACCGTCTGTCATCGTGCATGCACCAACACAGGTAGGGTAATTGTCTATATATATCTTACCCTCTTCAAGTTCTGGCAAAGGGGTACCATATTTGATAAAATCCTCTTCATCATCACTGTCTGACATGACTTATATCTAAGAAAAAATGTAAATTGTAAAAAATTTATTGATACAAAAGTTGTAATGCACTAAGGTACGAGGGATTCGCGAGCATAAATATATTAAAAGATATAATGTATTGACAGCTTTAGGTCCTTATACCATTCTGAAAGCATTATTCTCAACTAGAGAAACTGCAAATACACTGACTGTATCTTAAAATGGTTCACACGTGACACATGAATATATGTATCACAGTATATATGATCGACATGAAATGAAGCAGAGCTAGATTTACATATATCATGACATGATGAAAAATTGTCCATCATTCTGAATCTATACATGAAGACATATGCATCATTTTGAGATATGTAGGTTTTGTACCTAAAATCATTCACAACTTCACATGCATCATTAAATTACTGAAATACTGTACTCATGTACTCTGGGTTGCCTGTGAAGTCTGTTACACTCAGAGAGATTTCAATTTACAGTTGTAATTTGCCCTGATGTGACTGTTAGGATTATACCAACAAGAGTTGCATGAGCTGTTTACACGTTATATGATATTAACAGTCACACAATACAGATGTTTAGTGGAACTAGGGCCAGTACTAGGGCTACTTTAGGTGTAAATATATTAGCACTTTTGTGCTTAGCGCTCAGCCTGTAACGTGCAAAATAAATTGGCAAAAGCGCAACTTCATCAGGGTGGCAGCACAATCGCGTGGTGTCATGTCAGCGGCCAAAAATAAAGATTTTAGAACTCACTGTTGTTTTATTACAAATGTGAATGCATGCATGATCATAGAAATTTGAAGGTATATACTATTATTTATGGCTTATGCACTTACTATCATAATATCAGGGTGCGAAATTAACGCGAGTCCAGAGTCAAATACTCCTTGATTTACTGTCGGACTCCTTGATTTGACATATACAGGAGTCCGTGCAACTCCCTGAAAATTCTGCTATATACCAACTATAGTTCGTTCCAGAGCACGGCCTCGCGGTATTACGGTATTTTTTCAGCAAATGTCTAAAGAAAATTTGGCCGACGTGCAACCGCACGAATCTTCAAAATAAGCACATGCGTTATTGTTAATATCGTTAGCTTTGAATTTCAGACTGCGGACTACCTCATTTTGCTGCGGACTCCCTCTTTTTAAGGGCAGGGAGTCCGTTCAGTTGGACTCCCTTGTTCAAAAGTTAATTTCTACCCGTAATATACTCAAATTATGGCCTATAGGGTGTAGTACTACTACTACTAGTACTACTAGTATCGCTTTAACACAGATAATTTGAGATCAATCCCACTCCAATCACAACTCCAGTTCAAGGTAGCCCGACCAGGCTGGCTGTGCGACGGATTGTCTATATAATCCGTACATACTTCTAACCCTAGCAATACCGTTTCTTGGAGCTAAGTTCAAGGTAGTAACACTAACATATCAAATCCTAAGTGACCAAGTTTAAAAATTAAGAGATCATGAGGAACCCTAGCACTAGTAGTATAGTATCATTTGATACTAATTATATATTCTATCAAAGGCTTTGCTGAAGTCTAGAATTTAGAAATACTGCATCAGGCTATGACTTACACAGGCACTTGAAGCATATCAACAGTAAACATACGCCACCGCCATCGCGCGTACACTGACACATGTATATTATTACTAGGCACTTGAAGCATATCAACAGTAAACATACGCCACCGCCATCGCGCGTACACTGACACATGTATATTATTACTAGGCACTTGAAGCATATCAACAGTAAACATACGCCACCGCCATCGCGCG